TTCCCTTGGGGGTGTGTGCTCTGTTACGTTAACTTCGGGCCAAAAAAAAAAAATTACACGCACTGTGCCGGCTCCAATCCGTTAAGCAGCATAAACGAGAAACGGTCGACAAATTTATGACTTCACAGTTACGTACGGATGCAGATCCCAGAAGGGGGATCGGATCTTTTGACTGTGTGCCCAACTACCGCACAATTTACGATCGGTTCATTTAGGTGGCCCATTGTCCGATGCACCAATGCACCGATGTACCGATGCACCGATGTACCGATGTTTATGCAATGTTTTTGTGATTTCATATCGGCCAGCTGGGAATTTGTAGCGGCAACGCCTTGGCCATCGCCTTTCATTGTGGGCGTTGAATCTGGCCATCTCCCCACACTCTTTTGGCCCAAACTTCGGGTATTGCAGTGCCATCTCCATTGGATCTTTCTCTTTTGCCTGGGAGAAGCGCAAGGCGCATCCTAGCCAAATATGTGCGAGCCAAAAACGTGAGCCGAACAAATTGTTGCTGCCTTAAATAGTAAACAGATTTTTACGTTCATTCCTGGCACGGCCAAAAACGGGGTCTGCGTATTACGGCAGCCAAAGCCATAGTCAAAGCCAAAGAAAAAAGCCAAAGCAAAAGCAGAGGCTGCCTTCGATTCTTCCCAGCCGATTCCCAGAGGGTTGAGCTGGGTCAATCCTCGGCAGAGGTCCCCAGGAGCATTTAAAAATCAATTTGGGCGCATTTATATTTCACACGATGGCCCAGAGAGAAACAGAAACAGAAACGAAACAGAAACAGAAACAGCGAAGTCTGCAAGTCGGGGAAGTCGCGTTTGATGATTATCTCGGTTTGTGTGACTTTCGGTTTCCAAGCTCGTGTACGAACCACGTATATATGGTGTGTGCCTGGAAAATGGATAAATGGATGGAAATGTGTGTCACCGGGTCTCTGTGTCCCTCCTCCCCCTCCTCCTCCTAGCTGGCAATCCTCCAACTTTAGCCGCAACACCCATTTCCATTCCCAATTCGAAACAATTACCAATTGTTTATTTGTTCTTACAACTTGTTGTCGACTTCCCCAGTGGCCTGGTGTTGGTGTTGGTGGTGGTTCCACCAATCCCAATACCAATACCGATCCCCTTTTCGCCTCTTCGCCTCCACGAATTCATCAATTGCCACACTATCTTGATCTCGAGTCGGCGCACAGAAGTTTACTCTGTCGAAACGGTCCCAAACCGAAACTTTCCTTAGCCACTTTGACAGTCGGCACTTTATCTTCGCCGGCTTTTAATTTCACTAATGACAAACTAATGACAATTGATGGCCGTACACGTTTATGAAAATGGAAAACCTAATGAAACTGAATTTTCCTATGTAAGTCAAGTTAACCCAGCCGCGCAAAGTCCGAATGTCAATATGTTCAATCAATCAGGCCTAATGTCCAAGAGGTTGTCAGTAGGGGAGTTGGTTTTCAAAACTAAAATATATATTTGAAGGAGTTAAAATATTAATCATATTTATAATTATCTTATTTTTCAAAATTGACATTGGAAATCAATTTTAAAATGGGTTACAGAGCTCTGAACTGAATTTTACAAGTATAAAGAATTAAAATTTATTAAATAATTCTGCATTATAAAACATGTTATTCCTGTGTAATAAATAACATATCATTCTCATAAATAAACCCTTTATCTTATTAAAATTAATTTTTTTATAAAGTTAAGCTGTTTGAATTGATTTTTGACGTATACCTTCCAATTAGCTCGGTTATTGAATAAAATGTGGCACCGCCACACACATTTGGTGAATGCTCGCGGAGGCATTTCAAGATCGCGGCACTCGTAAATCGCCGAGGCCTGGAAACATTTGCCGCGACCAGCCCACAAAGCGATCTTGAAGACAATCCGCAACAGGGATGACTAGAAAAGTATGCCAGCAGCGTTTTCGAGTTGCAGTTGTTACTGTTGCTGCTGCTTCTGCTGCACAGAAATGTCATCGTCAATTAGTTTAAAGGCAGTATAAATTTATGTTAACAGCTACCAAACATAATATCCCCTGAGAGTCGGAACGAAACGAAACCATTTTCCCTTTTCACCATGCTTTCAGCAGGAGAAGAGGGGCAACATCAACGCCAGCTACCGTTTCTGCCACTGTTGCAAGTTGCTGATGTTGCTGTTGCTGCTGTTGCTGTTGCTGCTTTGGCATTGTTTTGGGGCGCGCGATTTCGTGGCCGTTATAACAGGCCCAAAGAATCCAAGGCGGACGTTATGCCTCAATGAAGTCAGAGTCAGAGTCTCAGTTGGATCTGGGATCCCGAGAAGAAGGCCAATTGGGTCGTGGCTGGGCCTTTGATGTTGTCGCAGTTTGTTAGAATCTGCTGCTGCCGATGCTGCTGCTGTGGCAAGCAGCCACAATAAGAAACGAAAAAATTGCACATGGCCCAGGCGTAGCATTATTTAATGTAATCGATCGTGATGGGTTTGTTCTAATTTGCGGTGATTTTGTTTTTGGCGCTTGTTAAGAACTGCCAGAGTGAAAGAGCCAGGCGAAATCCTTTGAAGTTGGTCAACGATTTAGTGTCGTATCTCTTATGGTATATTATAAAAGTTTACGAGACCGTGTTTAATTAGTTGGGGGGCAGGACGTGAGTGCTCGAGGTGCCATAAATTGCTTTGGCCTGTCGAATTTTTCACAGTCGGAAATTATGTTTTAGTAATTGGATTAATAAAAAAGATTATCAGCTGAGAAAAGCTTTTTGGCTAGATTTCTCTAAAACAAATTTTGCTTGGATATACCTAAATATGTTATGAGTCCCTCCTTTTTTTAAATTTACACATATATAAGCTATGAGTATTAACTTTCTCGTTTAATTTGTTATTTTTAAGTAAGTCTCTTTGCTAAAGAAAAAAAATGTAAGTAAAGATTGTCATTTAATAAATCAATTTTAGTTTCCAAAATAATATAAAGGTCAGTCCCAGATCATTGTACTTTTAATACACACTATCTCTGACAAACTTCAGTATTTTTTTTTCCATGTATCACTGTTTTCAAGCTTTGTTCTTATTTCTAGTTGCGTATCACACACTAATCAGAGCTCGTAGCTGCATTATATACATATGCGAAGTCTTTTCTCAATTTCAAGTTGGAAAATTGCATGGACAACTAGATGGTAATTGCAGGTGTGCAACATGGTAATGACGACTTTGGCCAGCGGGCTGCTGTTGGGTGGAAGTGGAGGCCCCAATTGAGGGATGATTGGATGGGACGGGGCGAGATCGGGAATTGCGTCGGGAAGAGGCGGACGACTTCCACCCGATCATGCTCATTACTGGATACTTGTTATGGCTAGCAATGACCAGCTCACAGCCCACCGGAATCAAAATCATAGATGACCCAAATTCTGGCATAGTATAAGTCATATGTGCTCGCCATCACTTTTGAGATGATTCTGAATCTCACTTCATATTTGAGGTCATATATGGACCACAAAAAAAAAAAACAGTGTAAAACCTTAAATCGCTTAGAAGCTTAAATCGATAGGAAATCTTTTAAAGATTTTAACAATATATATTGTTTCTAAAAATGTTGTCAAAAAACACATAAAACATTGTGTTTTATAAGTATGGTATCACTTTTTTATTTTTCAATTATATAAAATATTTGTATGTTAGAGTTGCGATCGCCACGACTTTCTTGCCTCGTTAAGATGTGTTTTTGTTTGACTCAAAGTGACGTCACAATCGCTCTGCTGCCCAAAAAGGCAATCGATCCAGAAGGAGAACACAACCCAAGTGACCAAAGCAGATATTCTCAGGAAAACTCCATAACAGCAAATGCATTCTGCATTTTAAACTCACCAAAGGGTTTTTTAGTCCAGCGCACTAGCACGTCCCAAGGGAACGTTAGTTGACATTTATGGAATGGGACTTCTGTCTTCTTGGACTGCCTGCCAAGTTGGTTTTCTTTTTCACTTTTCTGAAAACCATTCCGATGCGGCAGACTGCCTGGAACCATCGACGTCTTAAGTGCGCTCATTTATTCAGCTGTTAGTTTTTGCTGCAGAAATTACTTGAAATCATGGTTTTTGTCGCGTCTTCATTTTTCCTGGAAAGCTAAAGCTAAAGCTTTATTTGCACTTGCGCATGGAGTGGTCGCCATAACAAAACGGATTTTTTGCGCACTTTGTTCAACTGGCTCGTTGGTCTAGGGGTATGATTTCCGCTTAGGGTGCGGGAGGTCCCGGGTTCAAATCCCGGACGAGCCCAAGAGAAATTGTATTTTTTTTAGTTTTAATTATTTCTGTCAGCGTTATATTTTTTGTTTTAATATAACTAGAAGTGAAAAAGTTATACAAGTTTAAGGTCATTAATACTTGTGTGTACTCTTATTAGCCTGCATAAATAAAACCTAAACTCTCCTTCACTTTTAAAATCAAATATTAGCTAAAAAAAAAAAGTACCAATCTTGGGCTCGTCCGGGATTTGAACCCGGGACCTCCCGCACCCTAAGCGGAAATCATACCCCTAGACCAACGAGCCAGGTGATCGACGCGGCTCACGAAATCTAAAGTTTTTTTCGCGTTTAAAGTTAGTTTTGTTTACGTTTTCCAGTAAATTATTGGCCAAAATGATAATAATAACTGGTTTCGTGGCTACTTTCAAGGCTAGAGCTTTCTGTTGACCATGAAAGAAACCTGTTCTGCACGAGCGGTAAGCCAAGTAGGCATTCAGACAGCCCATCGACAACTGGCTCGTTGGTCTAGGGGTATGATTTCCGCTTAGGGTGCGGGAGGTCCCGGGTTCAAATCCCGGACGAGCCCAAGAGAAACAACTTTTTTCTTTTCAAATTATAAACATTGCTTATAGTTTTTATTTTTGTTGCACAAATAACGACTTATGGGTAAATAATATTAACATTTGTTGTTTTGCCCCTCTTATTTAGTAAGATTAAAATTGCATTAATTTAGGTAAAATATAATTGATTAATACCAATGGTTAACAAAACAGAAGTAAAATTAGATGATTTATTGTTTGTATTTTTTTATGTATAATGCATTTACATGTATGTAAGCTGAAAAGAATTTCGATATATTTAATACAAACGAAAAAAAGGGAAGCAGACAAGTTTGATGACTTGTCGCTGGCTTCGAAGTCGACCTATGAACTACATAAACATAAATAAATGACACATTTTGTGGACATAGAGAATTGGATAAACGTACAGTAGAATAACATACAGATACAATGATAGAATAGATGATAAATACATAAATTTGGCCCAAATTGTTGTTATTTTTGTAGCTGTTGATGACGCAGTGGCTGCTGCTGTTTATATTCTTTTGTTGGGGTTAGTATTCCATTGCTCGACGTCCCTTCCACTTTTGTTGATGGAGGGGGGTGAACAGTCGTTGTTAGCTTAACTCCAATTTAATTCTGAAGCTCCTCATATACAAATTTTTACTCATCTGCTACATCACCAACATCATCATCATCATCATCATCATCATCATCATTATGATCTTTAACCAGTTTTGCGCTCTGTTAGAGAAATGTTATTCGTTTTATGTACAATACATCTTGATGTTGTGCCGTTCGATTTTGTCTTGCATTTGGTTGCTTGGTTATTCATATATTTTAAATAATTATAATTATTTAGTTATTATTAGCACTAATTATTCTTTGGTTGTTCCACTGGTTCTGTTTGTTGTTTGCTTTTGCTTTTGCTCTTGGTTATTGCATTTCGATTTGTTCATTGTGCTTTTTCTTCCTGGAGTTCATGTTGCTGAATGTTAATGACGGCAGCCGTTTTAAACATTTGCTTGTGACTGGGCTTATTTGGATCGGTTGTTGGTGCTGTTGTTTTTGTTGTTGTTGTTGTTGTTAGTTCTGATGATGCTGGTGATGTCTGTGCAGCGGTTTTTCTTAAACTTTTGCCGAACGTGGAGCTGCCCTTCAGACCTGTAACGAGTGCCAAAAACAAGATAATACACACAAAATTAGTTTAATTTTTCAACTTAGCAGTGAAAGCCAAACAAAAGTTGGCTAAACAAAGATATTTGTATGTGTGTGTGTTTACTTCGAGAGGAGCACTGAAAAGGGCCAGGATAGGTGTGTACGGAAAGACAGACAGAAGCAGGGACAGCCGTGATGTGATATTGTTTAGAATGTAGAATATAAGAGTGCTCTGCCCCGAGGAGAGATAGAGAAGTGGATCGAGGAGAATGTTATGCTTTTGCGTTTACCTGGGAAGCTCAAACGATTCTGATAGATGGCGAATATATCGAAGGGCCTGTAGCATGGCTCGTAACCATCCTCGGGCCCATCGAGATCTTGAAAGAGGAGGGGGCTACTCTGATCAGAAGCGTTTGCGGCAGACACGGGGGAACAGTTTAGCATATGGGAGGGTATCACGAAGAGACTTTGCTCCATTTTCTCGGGCGGCGCTCTCGTTGAATCGGCGGTTTCTCTATCGGAGTTGGAATCAGAATCAGGATTGGACTCAGTGTCGCTCGAGGCCGCTGATGTGGTTGCTGTGGTTGTGGCAGTGGCAGTGGTTCTTGTTGCTGTTGCAGCCATTATTTGTGGTGCGGGCTTAGGTTTGTAGTTGTGTTGTGTTGTTTGTGTTGTGTTGTGTTTTTGTTTCGATTTTTTTTATTTTGTGGGATAGTGGAAGATGGTAACAAAGTGGATTAGTTGTTGTCTGCTGCTGTAGTGATTAGTGTTAGTCACAATTGATACAAGTTCGTCTGGTGTTAATTTAGGGGGATCTAAGTGGGTTTCATGCTAATTTCTTACCTCGCTGTCTTCACAATCAGCACCCTCTCGAGCGTCGGTGGTCAGGCCCTGCACGAAGTGAACATCATTTGATGGATCATCGGAGGCCAAGTGGGCACGAAATTGCTTATTTCTGTAAGACACAAATATAAGGATCATTAGGCAGGTCACATAGATCATCTTACCTCAACTCCAGTTGCTGCATTTGCTGAAAATGCCTTAGCTTGCTGTTGGCCATATGCAGCTTTTCTTCCAGCGCCGCGTTTTCCACACACTTGATGGAATACTTCTCGGAAAAGGACAGAATTTCCATACGAAGCTCCCCGAGATCCTCCCTGGGTTGGCAAAAAGAGTTAAGTAAGAGAATTACATATTTAAACACAAATTCAGTAGTTATTTGTACTACACTTGTGTAAGAAAATATTTTTGTTATCAAAGCGTTACTTACTCCTTAAGTTTGGCTCCATCGCCCCGCATTTGTTCGCCTCTTTGGACCTGTCGCAGGAACTCCTGCTTAAATCGAGCTACCTCTCGCTGAACTTCACTCTGGTGCGCCTTTCTCATGGCATCCAGAGCAGCCAAAGTGGCCTATAAATTAAATAAATATACCCAGATATGTAAAAATAATACTTTAAAGCGCTTTAACTGGCTATTGGACTCACCTGAGTTTCCTCGGCCAGCGCAGTCTCCTTTTCGGCCAGCAGTCGCTCAATCTCCATCTTGTGTTTCTGCTCCAGGTCGCAGGTGAGCCGTCTATGCGAAGTCTCCATGGCACTCAATCCCTTCTCACAGAGGGTCTAAAGTATATAAATTGTAATTAAAATGATAATTATGATATATTTATGTTTTAAAATAATTTTCAAACTTCAATAAGAGTACACCAAAAAAAATAAATTACCTAAATTAAGTAGAAACATAATAAAATCATTTTGAAAAAAGCTATGTTAAAAAAGGAATTATAGCCTATTAAATATACAAGTATATTTTATATGAACATATTTTTTGAACGAAATTGTAAGCATATCAGTTACATGAGAAAAAATGAAGGATACAATTAAAAAAATGATAAAGCGCTGTAGTTTAACTTAAGGTAAGCTTAAAAACATTACAGCTTGATATATCAAACCTGGCTAATTTCATTTTAAAAAGCATTAAACACTACTTGTTTTCGAAGAGACAACGTATTCAATAATATGAGTATTATTTTCTCACCCTCAGCTGTTCGATTTCGGTTTGGTAGCGCTTTCGGAAGCTCTGCTCGTCGGCTGCGTTGGCGTGTTCGGTGTGGTAGACCTCCCTGAGGCACTCCAGCTGCTTGCCGTGCTCCCGTTCGAGGAGCTCCAGTCGCTTCTCCAGGCGCCGGCAGCGCTCCTGCTGCCTGCCCAGCTCCTCGCCCAGTTCCTGGCGCTGCTGCAGCAGCAGTTCCTGCTCCTGCTCCTGGCTGGTGCACTTCTCCAGCGCCTGGGCCAGATCGCTTTCGCGCTGCTCCAGCAGCTGCTCGCTGCGCTGCAGATCCGTCTCCGTTTGCTGCTGCAGGGCGGACAGTTTCTCCACTCGCTGCCGCAGATCGCAGCACTTGTGGCAGGCGTCCTGCAGGCAGGTGAGTTCCATCTGCTCGCTGACCATCACACAGGTCTCGGCCAGAGCCCGTTCCAACTGCCGTAGACCATCCTTGCGATCGTTCATGGGCGAGACGGAGCGACGGGTCCTCTGGCCCGCCCGTATCTGCTGCAACTGGGTGAGACTCTGCTCCAGACGCTCCTTGCTGCCCAAGAGCACATGCTCCAGGCTGTGCAGCCGCTGCAGGAGATGGGCATTCAGCGGGGACTGGCTGCTGGACTCGCTGCTCGAGGACTCCGGCGGTGTGCTGCCCTCCTTCCGCTCCACCGCGTCCCTCTGCAACTCGCTTAGCTTCAGCTCCAGCTGCTCCTTGCCCTTGAGCGACAGCGAGCGTCGCCTCTCCGACTTGGCCAGCTTCTGCTTGAGCGCCCTCACCTGACGCTCTGAACTGCTGTACTTGAGGGTCAGGTCCTGAATGCGGGCCGCCATCAGTTGCAGCTGGGCTCCATCCTCGTGCTGCCGTCGCTCCAGCTTTTGCTGCAGAGCAGCTTGAGCCAGCTCCAAGGCATCGTATTGGTTTTGCGACTGCTTCAGCTCCCGCTTCATGGCCCGAATCTCGTTCACGGCCTTCTCGAAGCGCGACCGCAGCTCGTTGTACTCCTCGGCCAGCGAATCGCGTTGCAGGCAATAGGGATCGATGTCGCTGATGGTGGTCAAATCGCTCAGCGAGTCCATGCGCTTGATTTTGTGACGCTGCAGGTTGCTCAGCGCAGCGCCACCGCCACCGCCACCGTGATCCTGGGCCTGCAATTCCCGCAAACGCTTGTACAGTCCCTCGTTCTCCTCGATTCCCTGGGCCAGACGATCCTCCAGCTGCTTGATCTGGCACTGGCTCTCGCTCAGCTGCAGTCCCAAATTGTGCATCAGCTCGGAGGCACTCTGCTTGGCCTGGCTCAGTTCGCTGTTCAGCTGCTGCTGCTGCTCCTGCAGGCGGGCTGTAAGCTGCTGTTCGGTTCTTTGGAGGGTGGCCAGTAGCTCCGACATCCGAGCCTCCCGCAGTGAGGCCTCTGCCCGCAGCGTCTCACACTGCTGCTTCAGCTCCCTGCTCTCCGCGGGCTGCAGTTCCTCGGGCACCACTAGCAGCGGCAGCTCATCGCTGGCCACACTATCCACCGTGCTGCGTCGCGAACTGGGCGGCGAACTGCGACTCCTTTTGTGCAGACTGGCCAGGCTGCGATTGCGCAGACAACTTCGCAGGACGGGCGGTGAGGGTGAGAGCGGGGAGCCCCAGTCCAAGCTATCCCTTCTGCCGCCCTCCGATGCCGTGCGGTACTCCTCGTCCGACGAGAAATGCGGTCCAGCGGGCGTGACCGGTGTAACCGGACTCGAGGCCGGCTGCTGCAACTGCGCCTTCATGAAGTCCTGCTCAATGTCCGTCGTCTGTTTTGGCGGCGCATCCAGTTGCGGCAATCCGGCAGCACTTCTTAAGACTGCCAGCCAACTGTTCCGCGAACTGGGCGACAAGCTGGCCAAGAGCAAACGCTGTTTGTCCCAAGTCGTTAGCTGGAAAGCGTGCTGTTTGCTGGCCGTCGGCTCTGCCAAAACGCTGGTCAAACTGTTCACATCCAGGACGCCGTCGAGGACACCTCGCTCCTCGCACAACGGATCTCGGTAGTAGAAGAGTGCCGCTCCACTCAAGGTGAACCAGTGCTTGGACCACTCGCCCGTCCGGTTGTCCTGCTTCATGAGCCAACCCTTCTTGGCGTTCAACGACTCCTCTGCCGCCGCCTTAACCGGCGGTTTGCCCTGACCCGAGGTTGTCTTACTGCTCGCCTTGCCCACCGATCGCAGCTCATCCGTTTTGGCCATGTAGTTGACGCACAGCTCGTCCAGATTGCAGCCGCCGTCGGGATCTCCGCGCTCGTGTTGGTAATGCTTCGGGGACTTCAAGTGCAACTGCAGCCTGGCCGTGGGCTTCGACTTCTCACCCTGCTCCAGAACCGTGGGTATCTTCTTGACTATGGCCGACACGATCGCCGGCGTGGAGTTGGATGCCAGGGGCAGCGATTTCGGACGTTCGTTGGCCGTACTCTGGGACTTGTTGTTGCCGCTATTGGCGGACACCACCTGGAAGTCCGTTTCATCCCTCGAAGTCACCTGACCATACTGGCTGTGATGGCTGAAGTGGTGCTGGTTGTTCAGGGCATTGTTCACCGCCGTAGACCAGCGTTTGTTCTGCTGCTGACTCAGATTCGTTATGGTGTTCGCAATGTCCTTGATCGTCTTCTCATCGCGACGGATGTCCTCGATCAGCAGGCAGGTGGTGGGCTGGGAAACTGAAATAAGAGATTGGAATGGGAACAATGTCAGTAAAACTATAAGTCATATATTTTAAAAAGAATTTTAACTTTCTGATAAATAAAATAAAAATTCAAAAGTATTCATTATCTAAGCAAAATTAATAAGAATCAATAGCTATGATTAATTTCAGAACCTACGAATTGATCGAAAAGGGTGCCACAGAAATGACTTTCATTTTGAAATCATTTCTAAAGGCATCTAAACTATTCAATAAAGCTTCAATACACCTTTAAAATTGTTTTCAAAACTTGATTCTAGTGATTTTATTAGCAACACTATTATATTATAAAGCTTTTATTGGTATTAAACAAACCAACATTAAATTATAAAAAGAATATCGTTTAGACAGACAATCAGGCAACTATAGGTTTACGATCTTGGCGGTGATCAAGGATCATAAATTGCCCATCAGCCTTAGCCCAAAACAAACCTTGGCCAGCAATCTACACATTCTTTTCCTGTAATTGGCTCAACGTCTTCATTAAATACTTTGAAATATGAGCATGTCGGTAATTTCATTTGGCCGGCTGTCTGGCAAACCATATCAATGTTATTGACTGAAATTAACTTAGACAGAGGATCGTGTGGATGGTGGATTGAGGATCGAGGATAGAGGATTGAGGATTCGTAGGAACTCCACCCCTAACAATATTTATGCCCAGCATTGGGCCGTAAAACGCGACGAGAGAGCCAAGTTATGTGCGGGCAAATATAATAAAATTATTAAAACGGGCACACGGTGCATTGTAAGGGGATACGAGTGATCGCGATAAGACTGGCTGGATGGTTGGATGGCTGACTGGCTGACTGGAAAGATCCCGAGAGCAGAGTGCCATAATTTTATTAACACCCAAACAAGTCGAGGACGAACCATCGGAGACGAACCAGACGAGAGGCAGCTCCGAGTTGTCCCATAAAATATGTGATTACAAAATATATATTTAGACGCGCAAGTGAGTGAGTTCTGCCCACGACCTGTTTGTTCCAGCCAGCCGCCACATTTAGGTTTATTATGATTATGATACAAATTTGCGACTGGCCATAAAGTCGGGCGTCTTGGAGCACTGGAGGACTGTAGCTGAGCTTGGGTCTCGATCTTGGTCTCTGAGTGCGCATCAATTCGGTCAGTCGAACAGGTTGGTCGCTTTTCGGCTGCTCTGCGGCGTTTATCTTGATTATTGAGCTGTTGCGAAAAGCGAAAGGAGGTGGACCAGCAGCCTCTGAACTCCAGCTGCAGATACGGATGCACGGCTAAAGCTTGTTGGTCGGCAATGGGGTGGGGGTATGGGTATGGGGATCCAGCTCAAACTCTGACAGAATCGGAGCTGGGCACTGACTGACTGACTCACCGAGCAGGTTCAAGGTTACTGTGCTAACTGCGGCGATGGCGATGGCGATGGACACGGGGTATGCCTTTAATTGGTCGACTTGTCGGCCCATCGCACAAAACCAAAGGGCTGACCAAAGTGGCCCTGGCGACGCTACGTCGATTAGGGTTCGGAATCGGGTTCAGGATCGGGATCGGGACCGGGATCGGGGCTGGGACTATGTCAGCAATGGAATTTATAATGCTTATGATATTACACATAGTCGAGTGGAAGGACAGAAGGACAATGGTACTTTACTACCCGAATGGGACTCATTATGTTTACGATGGTGCGGTCAGGGATCCTCTGAAATATGAGTTTGGTACGAGCTCCAGATCTTAAGGGTATAAAATAAATACACAACAAACTAATGATCACTTGAAAGTCTGAAATATATAAAAAGTCTGCTGATTGATCACTTGGTCTCATATTTTTTGTATTCAAAATGTAAAAAAATGTAATAAACTAATAATCGCTTTTAAGTTCAATATATAGAATGAATTCAGTTCAACTATCATTTGAATACCAATACTTATAATTTCTATTAAATACTTTCAAAGTTGAGCCTTTCACTCAAAATGCAAATAATTTTCTTTAAGGGTATAAATACTTTAATTTAAGCCACCTTTAGGTTCCAACAGTAACCAGTAAGTAAAAAAATAATGCTTGAAGGACTACAGGACCGTCTGACAAGTTAGCTTGCCATAAATCACATTTTTCTTAATTTAAATTTTAAAATTACTAAATTAAAGAGTCCCTAGGGCGTGAACAATAAAAATCATCTATGCAGCAGATGCAGCAGTTTACAGGTCATTCCTCATTCGTTTCTTGATGCCTCGCAGGAGTTGCCCATAAAACCATCCCCACTTGCTGCTTTATTATCTGTGGCTCTTTGTTTCGCTCTTGTGGCCTGCCCTTGATGTGTTTTGCACCATTTAATATTTATTGTGGCTTTTACTACGCGCTTTCAAGTTCAAGATCAAATCAGCCACCACAGAGTCCAGTGGGGCAAAAAAAAAAAAAGAGAAAGAGAAGACGCGTAAGGTGCTAAGTGTAATTAAGTTGATAAAAACAGTGTTCGCAGATATATGGGCTGGCAAGTGGCTTGATGCCGCTGCCGCTGCTGATGCAGAGAGCCCTATAATTATGGTTCCAATGGCAGATGAGGAACTCTGACGGCGGGACAATATAGTCCAAACTGGTAGGAGGAGGGTCGAGGGATATACATATACAGCTGCGGGATTTTTGGAATTGTCTCTGGTGGCGACTTTTTTCATTTCTTTAATTAACAGCATTTGATTAATTATGGCCACAATTAAGCGCACTCAGAACAACCCACTCAATCATGGCCGGGCTTCCTGCAAAAAACAACTCCCGATCGCCTCGAATCCCCGATATTCGCCGTACTTTTTCAGTGAAGCTCCGCCTCAGACGTAATAAATAATCAAATTGCAAGTTGATTTACCTGCTCGACTCTGCCTTTTGGGCGAACGAAAGCGAAAATTGCCTTTGGATTGGAATCGCTCCCGCCCGTTGAAACAACCTTAGTTCCCCTTACCTGCTGCCCCAGGCTCCCCTCACACGATGACTTTGAAAAATTTCTAACTGACCAAGGCCCCGCCCCCTCTCCCCGAAAAAGCGAAAAAACGAAAAAAATATAAACCCTGCCAGACCGGACCCCAACTTGTTGCATAAATTTTGCTTGCAAGTCGTTACACTTATGAATATTGATTGGTTATAGGTGATGGTGGCGGTGGCGGTAGCGGCGGGGCTGCCGCTTCTTGGGCTCTAGAGCTGTGGAACTCTGGAACTCTGGAGCTCTGGCGTTCTAGAGTCTCGTAAATCGCAGAGCCTGCATCGTTAGCTGCCGAGACGCACCTCCTGGCCCATACCGTGTACCGCGCGCTGTCATTTTGCATTTGCACAGAAGTTGTCCGGCTTCAATGGAGCTGGATCCTCCTAACCACGTTTGTTAACATGCCTTTTCTGTGTGGCTCATAATGGGGGCTCCTCAATAGAAAGATAATGAATTCGCGGCACAACTAATGGAAACTCTTTCTTAAAACCCATACGTATCCTACAATGTTGCAAAGGGTTGCAATTAGGGATTGATATAGTATGAAGGTTAGGCAGCGATAACAACGCTTGGCAGATAGTTCAAATGCAACTTCTATGTCAAACTTACACTAAGGAAAATGGTCATAGGTTAATGTTGGTAAACATAATTATAAACTCAGAAATGAAAACGGTTTGAAATTCGTCCGCTGAGTTCAGTGTTTTGATATGATTCAGGTTGAAAAGGTTATTTAAAAAAATCTTATTAGTAATAAAAATAAACTATGTACAGATATAGTGGCTACATTATTTTAAAAAACAAAACTACAATTTAAAAGAATATTGAAAACATGTTAAGCAAAATATTTAAGTATACATTTTAATAAAACTACTGTTGGGAAAAATAACCTAGCTAATTTGTAATTATTTCCAGTGCATCTGATTAATGGAATGCTCAGCTACTTTGTTGCAATCATAAGTAGTTACTGCTGCTCATCCTCTTGTAATTTACAATTTGTCATTGTATTACAATCTAGCACTTAATTCTTGTGAAACTCCAACTTCTTTGGAAACTTGTTTGGTTGCAATGGGCCCTAGGTTGATGCTTTGATTGTTGGCCTGGGATTTGTCTGGGGATTTATTTTTTTGGGGCGTTTAATCGCTGGTTACTTTGGCAAGTTGCAGAGCTACATTTCGTCACCTCTGCCAAAGGGGCTGTTGAAATTTCTAAACTAATCCACAGAGTAGAGCAAAGCAGAGAGGCTTTCCACACCAGGCCCCGAGATTTATTTGCACTGTAATTATTCACTTTGCCGTGAAACTTTGCCCATTACAAGTCCCTACGCAGACACGTACATAGCCACATGGATGGTGGACCCATGTCCAGAGGGGCTATCATGTGGCACTGACTTGGAAAATATTTCAGTTGGCCCCGGCCTGACATTGGCCTGCCGACGGCTATTAGGTGTAGACAGTTTATAATCTTTGTCGTTGTGCATTTTAAGAGCTTTTTCCCCACATCCACAACCACAACCACATCCACATCCTAACACCCATTCAGAAAATGGTCGGCCGAACAATGAATTGCCTCATTTGCCGCACAATTTTGCTTATTGATGGAATGTAATTAGTCTGTGTCAGCACCCAGCTCCGCGAAGCCAGTGAGCCAAATGCCCTAGAGTCCTACCTGGTAAGTGATCTCGGCCTCTCCAGACCCATTACTATGCCACTAGCCAACGGTGCATCGCTAATCGAAAAAGGTGGCAAATGCGAGTGTGAAAACTGACCATTAGAGTGGCTCCAGAAGCGGTACTTTCCGCAGGTACGTGCAATAATCAAATGCATTCTCCAGAACTATTATTATTATAAGGTTTCTCCGGATAAACAAATTGTATTCATTTGTAACTCGGATTAATGTAATATTTATAAATAAATTCTTTTAAATTCAGTGGCTTTACAAATATACTGAGAATTATTTAGTTTCAGATTATTACTTGAAGTTGCCAATAAATTTAAGTACCTCACAGTAAGCATATTGAAAATCTAACGAACAATTTTAAATCTACTTTTCATTAACATTGTACATGTATATATGTACATTTTTCACATTGGCTCTTCCAAAGTTATTGTCTAGATGCATAGTACATTTTCGCTTTCCATTTCGAGGGCTCTACCTTCGAACTGGTTCACGTATTTAACTGGCGATTTATCAACGGAATAATGCCATTTGATGTGGATGCTGAGCCTTGAATTTGCGACCAGGCAGGGAGTTGGGCCAAGGGATCCATCCGTGATGGCACAACAACGGATCTGAGGGCAGACACACTATAATTTAAGCGTGAATATCATTTTTCCATGAACAAGTATCCTGCAGCAATGTATGTGAGAACATTCACAGTAACTGCAATTACCGACTACAACCACCAACCGATCCGGCAACGGACCAACTCCACTCGATCCACTCGATGGTGTGTGTGAGTGCGAGTTGGCGAGAGTCTGCTGGGATCTAAAGAAAATTTATGAAGCCTACCATTATACGATCTTAAGTAGTGGCGGGGATCCCTCGTCGGCAAAAGCCCTGCTGCTGCACGTTTGTCCCTGTGTTTGTGTGTGAATTCAAGGTTAATTTCGTGGCTGCGGCTTTAACTAGCTGCACGCACTGCCCTCCATCTTCAACTTCAGCTCCAACTCTCCATCTCCATCAGCCGGTACCCTGTCCCCCCGGAAATATCCCTATCCCTCAGCCGAGGCTGACTCTGTCCGTCTGGGCCGAGGTTGATAATTTTGATTGCTGCGAGCCATAAATGATCATAAAAATTATAGCAGCCGATAGGAGCCCAACCGAACTAAACTATACTCCAACCAAAGGAAAAAAAAGGTTGGAAATGCAGGGCAAAAGATACCTAAACTTGAGAGCCATTTTCCTCAAAAAGTAAAAGTCAGTTTCATCATCTTTATTACATAAAGACAAATGAGCTGGTGCTCTGCCACGATTCATTACTTTGTTGACTAGTAAATTACTTATAAAACTATAGACTACGTAATCAAGCTTGTTATTCATGGAACCATACATTTTTAAGCATTATTCTAACAACAGATAAATCTGGATCGATTTAAAAATTATCATAATAAAATATAAAGATATAGGAGCAACATATTAATGTTTCAACTAAAACAGTTAATAAGAAAGGGAGTATATTCAGCGTAAAGCTTATGGCCATTAAAAGGTTTGTGTTTTTGCTGAAGTCTAACAACTTGGACCACTTTTGGGTCTTCAAAAATGATTTTAATACCTGAGCATCAAAATTTAAAAAAATAAAGATAAAAAAAGGATTGCAACACAATATAAATTGTGATGTTAAGAAACAAAAACAAATTCTTATAAATTAAAGTGCTTTATATTCACTCACCCCGATTTGTGATCTCGTTGCCGGCATTCCGATTGTTCTCGTCCTGGCCGCCAATGTTGACAGTCTTCGACTTCCGGGGCACCGTCTCATCCTCCTCGTCCTCCTCGTCGACATCCTCGCCAGTCTCCACGCCGTCATCCTCCTCGTCGTCGGCGAGACCACCGGACTGCGTGCTGGTCAGAGCGGAACCACCGGTTTTCGTGGAGCTGGGACCCAGATCCAAAGTGCTCAGCAGATTGCCGGCCGACTGGGAGGACGTGAGCGTGTCCTTGTGATATGAGCTGTGGCGATTGCCCAACTTCGTGGAGAGCGATGGATCGCCATTGTTCGACTGACGCAGACTGCCCACAACTTGACCGCCGGGCAGGGTGGCACTCCGTTTGTGGCGACCCTTCGACTTGGGAAAGGCGGCCAGGATGTTGAGCCACCATTGGGACTCCTCAGAGCTGGTGCCCTTCACAAAGGTTACGCGCTCGGGGGCTGTTATGGCGATGGAGTTGGGGTGACCTGTGACCTCCGCGGCGCCGGTCACCTCCAGCACTTTGGTCATGTCGACACACGCCTGCGGTATGGTTTCGGGCTGTATGTAAAATATATTGAAAACATTTTAAATAAATTTTTACAAAAATATAATTATTTAAGTATACATACATAATCATCGACCGAATACGTCAGCTCGCCATCGTCGTAGAGAACAAACCACCTCCTCTGCCAGCGCTAGAAATAAAAAAAAAGAAACACAATGTTGATAAGAAAATATTAATTAATATAATTAATAAGATTAACATTTAATCACTTTCAGTTGCAAGTATCAACATGAGACTAAATGATTAGAAGATTCTTTACTTAGCCACATCACTTTAAAACAAATTTGCATTGTCGCTTGCAATTTGCTTTACAAAAAGGTGGGGCAAGAATAGGCGAGGAGAGATAGAGTAAGTCGGGGGGTTAAGTAATGTTCAACGCCCCCGACAGAAATCATAATTCCTTTATAATTCGTTCTTTCATATATTTTCTGGCGTTGTCATTCCCATGAAAGGTAACCAAGCCCCAACGCCTTCGCCTTTGCATTGGCACTGATTCGGTGCGGATCTGGATCTGATTCTGATTGTTATTGTCGGTTGCCAGAATCATAACAAACGTGCAACAGCCACAAGGGTGTAGGACTCAACGTGTGTCTGATATTTATGCAAATTGCTAAAAGTCAAAGCAAATTAAGCTCAACCTTCAGCGAAGATGACGTTGAGTTCTGTTGCCCCAATGCGTTGCAAGTTGCAAGTCTCTAGTTGCAAGTTGCTCGTTGCAACTCCCTAAAGTTGATTTCTCCCCACCCAACTGTGAGTGTGAGTGGAGTGCCGAGGTGTGTCGGCCGTTTTATTTATAAGGCCTAGAAGAAGGGAACTCGCACACGAATAATCAAGCCGCAGCACCATTTTTCACTTTACTCTCTAGTTCTTTATATTTCTAGTACTATTTTTTTCACTTCGTCTTTTTTTTTGGCATTGAATTCATAAATATTGAATCGAATCTATTGGATGTTTGAGGCTACAAGTATGTTGGGATTAATGAAGTGAGAGGTAACGATTTTTTTAGACCTGACGAGCTTTCTTTTGGGTGATCAGAACTTTGTGGTTGCAAAAAAATCCCAAAAAACACATTAAAAACTTGGTTTTTGTGTCAGAACCCTAGGAAATAATGGTCAAAGTAATAAAATTTCCAATCATAGGCATTCACAGTTAATTAGTTTAATTTTTTCAGATTGTCAAATTTCTGCAAAAAATGATGATATACCCCCTTACAAAAAAGTCAGAAATTTGGACATAAATAAAAGATACAACTATTCGAAATATTGTTTTTATTTTAAGTATCTTTGGTCTAGCAGTGTTAGTAAGTCATTTCAAGATGACATTAAAGCTGTTATAATTAACGAAAAAATATATAACACCTTAATGATTTATGTTAATTTACTTAATAAATTATCAAATTGCCATAGGAAAATAATATGAGGAAATCGTTGTGCGGTTTTCCCAGAGACCCCAAAGAAAAGTCAAGCGTACAGAGAAACCTGATCAGCTCGCGGGAAAGAATCTCTGCACTCAATTACGTCAAACCAGGTTGATTTCCTCCTTTTCGCTGTCGCGAGATTGGCAGAAGTCAAATAGGTCAGGCAGTGGAATAGTAAATTAGATTATGCTAGCATCGAGATGCAATGGAAACCACGCCCCAAATGTTCATATTAGCCGCACATCCTCACGTTTCCCACTTCTGCCCTAATATATGGTACTAGAGGTAAGCAGCTTAGACCGCGTCGCTTAGAAGCCCCAGTTTCGTTTCAATAGGCAGACACAGACACTCACAGCGGGAAGACAATGCCACTTGGTTTAATTAGCCCGGGGAACGACATCTCAATGCTGCCGAACGTATACTTATGGGCGTGAGTGTGCTGTGCTGATGTGAGAGCTAGTGTAAATCGGTTTTGACAGGTACGCCGTTGGCGTCATTACCCCCGCAGAGGTTGAATGTCACCGGCGGCCAGACTTGGGGGCCAAGCCGATAAGGCGCACACTTGCCACCGTACAGTGCGCACGGAGAAAAAGATTTCACCTACTTATTATTATTTTTTATTATATTATATATATATAATATGAACTATGGTCAAATTTCGAACCATAAATATTATCTTTTAACTGACCATTTGCAATAGAAACCAAAATATTTAACATTATGTAATACTATTTTAATTCATTTTAAAGAAACATATTTTTGAAAGATTAATTATCACCAAAACATAAATATATTTTAAGAAATGTTTGCTTAGAATCTTTCATTAGGTAGATTTAATAAAATCAAAAAATAACAAATAATTCTATAAATAGTTTTCCTTTTGACGTGTCTCAGAAAAAAGATAAACAAATAGATTTTCGTTTATTTACTTTTTTCCTATATTTGCATGTGAATGCCATATTTTTCACGTCTGCTGATAAGGAAAACTGTAGCCTAGACAATTTTAGGCCGTATTAAGTTAACGTCTGGAGGCGCGAAGAGTCAGACGATGTTGTTTATATCATTTCCCGGGCAGTTGCCAAGGCAGCCGAGCAACTCGTTCAATTAGTGGGTCAACTCGGAAAATGAGTTATTGATGGTGGGAAACTTGCGAGCTGAAAATCTTTATCAGTGACCGAATTTTTCCTAACATGCACTCTCCAAGTGACCATTCCTGTCAAGTGATAACGCTCAGTGCGACCCCCAAAAATTATCAATAAGAAGGAATATAAATATGAATAAATTAATAGGAACAAACAAAATGAAAATATATTCAACTTTTATAAATAATTTAGCGTCCGGTTAGGTCTGATATAAAGATTGTCGCCCACATCTTTGCACTGCACTCACAAAGCGAACACTTATATCTTTCCATATAAAAAACAGGTTCAACATTGTTGTATGCAAATTGAAAGCTTTATATTTTTGCCTCTCAACTCACATATCATAGCCACCTCCCTCATTTAATTTAACCCCTTGACTCGTACTGGAGAATTTTAGGAACTAAATCAATAGGATTTTTTTATCTTATGTTATTTTGAGAAGAACAGAAACATAGTTAAGTTTCTATGAAAATTTTTGTTTGGTTGTATTCAAATATTGCTTTTAGTTTTCCGCTTTCAAGGCCTGTAATTTAAACATGGGTTAACTTTTAACTGTTGATGTTCTGCTGCACTTGAAACCGATATTCCAGCTCGGCTACAAAGTGGGCTTGGTCGCACTTCGCAGTTGCGGTCAAGCGAGATTGCTAATGAGCTGCTTTAAGGGGGCGTGTTTCGTACTTTCCTACTTTTCCAGATTGATTCTACGCTGCCTCCAGCTAACCCTTCAACCCCTCTGAATACCTAGGGGTCTCTATCTGACTTGTACGTATGCAAATTAAGCCGAAGTTCAATTGCGACCGCAGCAACAACACAAGCCTGGATCTTTCTACACTTCTGCTAGCTATGCCTGACATTCACAAGGTTAAAGCTCGTACTATTTTGTATGAGGCTCTACACTTGAAAACACAAGTTTCACTAAGAATTAAAGACAACTTTTTTCTGTTTTGCCTTGAGAATTACTTTTAGGATTTGACATTATTGCTTAAAATCAAGTCTGTTTTGTCTCGGCCAAAGTTGTTGTTGTTTTTCCAATCGTATAAATATATAATTTTAAACTAACGTGAATAACTCTTAATATAAGAAATAAATAAACAACTTTGTTGTATTACTTTGTCCAATATTTTCTACAGTTTTATAAATAAAGTTATATTAAATATCTTTTAAAAAATCGTTTTTTTCTTGTGGACTCTCTGCTGTTCGATTTTCTATTCTCACTCAGCCTTTATTTGCAGATCATTTGTTTTCGTATTCCTATTGCATTTTACATATTACAAATCATTTGAGCACCGCTGCCGATGTCGACGACGACGTCGACAGCAGTCGCCCCCACTACAGAAAACTATTTAAGGCGCTGCAAAAGTCAAAAACACCGATTATTGTCTCAGTGCAGTTGTCAGTTGCAGTTCAGCAGACCGGTCAACGAGTACTTGCATTTCTTTAAATTTAAATTGATCAAGTAAGTAATAAGTACCACACTGAATGGGAAGTCTAAATTAATTGAATTTATTAAACAATTTGCTTTAATAACTTTATAATTTGCATACAAACGAGTATGTCAATTTGATAAATATAAATGATAATAAAAATGTTTTTAAAAAAAGCTTTAAAAATTAAAACTAGTTATAAGTCCTGGTTAAATTCGTAATTTTAAAAGTGTCATTAAAACACCGCCTTCACTAAAAATTTTAGTTCATTGTTTAATTAAAATTTCTAAGAAAATAAACTGTTAGTTAATTTCTAAAATTAGGCATCCGTTAGCTATCTCAAAAACAAAGCGCGTGCAGACCAGCAGTAATTTTCCAAACATTAGACATAGTGCGGCAAAAATTATGAACATACACACACATAAAGCTTTGCCGGTACAAGATCTCAAATAAAAACAAACCGAAATGTGCCAAAATATAAAAGTAAAAATAAACCTTAAGCTAGGCAGCGCTGCCAACGCTGGCGGCGCAGTCAAAATAGCCCATCGCGTAACGAAAGATAATGGAAAGCTCTACGTAACCGGAGCTTAAAGTGGGAAGATCTTCCTATAAATACGGGGCCGTGGCAATCTGGAAACCAACAACTAACCGAGCCCTCTTCCCATCGCCACAGATCGAAGGAGCCAGCTTAAGAAGTCACCATGTCGACTACACTGACCAACAAGAACGTCATTTTCGTGGCCGGTCTGGGAGGCATTGGCCTGGACACCAGCAAGGAGCTGGTCAAGCGGGACCTCAAGGTAGCCACTCAGTGTGCTCTAAGAGATGGAGTCTTAATAATCGAAATTCCCTGTATGTAGAACCTGGTGATCCTGGACCGCATTGACAACCCGGCTGCCATTGCCGAGCTGAAGGCAATCAATCCCAAGGTGACCGTCACCTTCTATCCCTACGATGTGACCGTGCCCATTGCCGAGACCACCAAGCTGCTGAAGACCATCCTCGCCAAGCTGAAGACCGTCGACATCCTGATCAACGGAGCTGGCATTTTGGACGATCACCAGATTGAGCGCACCATTGCCGTCAACTACACCGGTCTGGTCAACACGACGACGGCCATTATGGAGTTCTGGGACAAGCGCAAGGGCGGCCCCGGTGGCATCATTTGCAACATTGGCTCGGTGACGGGTTTCAATGCCATCTACCAGGTGCCCGTCTACTCCGGCACCAAGGCCGCCGTGGTCAACTTCACCAGCTCCCTGGCGGTAAGTTTACCAAGAGTAGCATTTTTTGTTGAGGGAAAATAACAAAGGTTATGTATAATCCACAGAAACTGGCCCCCATTACCGGCGTCACAGCTTACACCGTGAATCCCGGCATCACCCGCACCACCCTGGTGCACAAGTTCAACTCCTGGCTGGATGTGGAGCCCCAGGTGGCCGAGAAGCTGCTGGCCCATCCCACCCAGCCCACACTGGCCTGCGCTGAGAACTTTGTGAAGGCCATCGAGCTGAACCAGAACGGTGCCATCTGGAAACTGGACTTGGGCACTCTGGAGCCCATCCAGTGGACCAAGCACTGGGACTCGGGCATCTAAATGTGATACTCCACCCGAAAGCACACAACATTAGTTCATAGATATTCCACGCAAAGCAATAAGGCTGATTCGACGCACACTCACACTCTCCCCCTCTAATACGATAATAAAACTCTCGAAGAAAATTGAGAAATTCAAATCCAAATTGATAAGCCCTCTGTTTAATTAAAATAGATAAAGGGGAGTGGCACAAAGCAGGGCCAGTTGCTCTGCCAATCAGTCGTAGAACAGAAGTCGTCGAAAGCGGGAAAGAATGTTCGATTTGACGGGCAAGCATGTCTGCTATGTGGCGGATTGCGGAGGAATTGCACTGGAGACCAGCAAGATTCTCATGACCAAGAACATAGCGGTGAGTGAGCGGACAGCTGGGCTCTGGGCTTCGGACTTTGGGGCTCTGGCTTACTGGTTCCACCCAGGTCGAACTCAAACTCGAACTTGAAACTAGTCCAACAAGTCGCTGTCGAAACTAATTAAGTTAATGAGTTTTTCATGTTTGTTTCGCGGGCTGCAACAATTAAGTTTATGTTTCAGTTTGGCTTAGATTTTGCTGACAAATTTAGCACTTTCGATTGTCAGGGTGTTTTTGAAGTGATATTTGACAAGAATGCAGTTTAGATGGTATTTACAGATGACTTGATATCGTATCATATTTGTCCAATAAAAGCCTATTTTAATTGATAAGGTATTTTTAATCACAAGGTTAACCATTTTTCGCTTTAAAGAATAAGGTAAACCGATAAACTCTAATTAAAAAAAGATTGCAAATACCTATATAGAGATGAATAGGACTTAAATCCCTTTGAAAAATTTGAATTTGAATTACAAGTTTAAAAAAGGGTTTTACCTTTTTAGAAACTGGCCATTTTACAGAGTGTAGAGAACCCACAGGCCATTGCCCAGCTACAGTCGATCAAGCCGAGTACCCAGATATTTTTCTGGACCTACGATGTGACCATGGCCAGGGAGGATATGAAGCAGTACTTCGATGAGGTGATGGTTCAAATGGACTATATCGATGTGCTGATCAATGGAGCGACTTTGTGCGACGAGAATAACATTACTGCCACCATCAATACAAATCTAACTGGAATGATGAACACTGTGGCCACGGTTTTGCCCTATATGGACAGAAAAATGGGCGGATCTGGTGGTCTGATTGTGAATGTTACCTCTGTCATTGGATTGGATCCATCGCCAGTCTTCTGTGCCTACAGTGCTTCCAAATTCGGTGTGATTGGGTTTACGCGAAGTCTGGCGGTGAGTGTAATACATTTATTTGCATTGCATATCTTTCATTTTTTTATATATGTATATATTTTTCTGTAGGACCCTCTTTACTATTCCCAAAACGGAGTAGCTGTCATAGCGGTTTGTTGTGGTCCTACCAGGGTTTTTGTGGATAGGGAGTTGAAAGCCTTTTTGGAATACGGACAATCCTTTGCCAATCGCCTGCGTCGAGCTCCCTGCCAACCGACATCTGTTTGTGGTCAGAATATTGTCAGTGCCATCGAGAGATCGGAGAATGGTCAGATATGGATTGCTGATAAGGGTGGCTTGGAACTGGTCAAATTGCATTGGTACTGGCATATGGCCGATCAGTTTGTCCACTATATGCAAAGCAACGACGAAGAAGATCAGGATTCATTTTAAATCAAATAAAAACAAGAAAGAAAGCAAACTTCGGCAAGCCGAAGTTCATATACCCTTGCAGCTATTGCAAGAATTAAACATTTTTGAAAACATTAAAATTATGATTTACTTTCGTATATGTTTAAAAACATTGAAGCTATGATGATTTGCAGCCCAATTATTTGATAGTTATTTTATATATTTTTATTATTTCTAAGGGAGCTATATGATATAGACGTCCGATTTTGATAAAATTTAAACCATAATTCTGAAATATTTAACCATTGCTATATGTCGAAGAACTAAACAAAAAATTAAAAAACAGAAAAGTTATAATTTTTTTTCATTTATTTTTCCGATTGTTCCTATGGGAGCTATATGATATAGTCGTCCGACTTTGATGAAATTTAAACCGTAAATCGGAAATATGTAACCATTACTAAATGTCGAAGAACTAAACAAAAAATTAAAAAACAGCAAAGTTATAATTTTTTTCATTTATTTTTCCGATTGTTCCTATGGGAGCTATATGCTATAGTCGTCCGATTTTGATGAAATTTAAACCGTAAATCGGAAATATTTAACCATTACTAAATGTCGAAGAACTAAACAAAAAATTAAAAAACAGCAAAGTTATAATTTTTTTTCATTTATTTTTCCGATTGTTCCTATGGGAGCTATATGCTATAGTCGTCCGATCCGGCTCGTTCCGACTTATATACTACCTGCAATAGAAAGACAACTTTTGGGAAAGTTTCATGCAGATAGCTTTAAAACTGAGAGACAAGTTTGCATATAAACGGACGGACAGACGGACAGACGGACAGACGGACATGGCTAGATCGACTCGCCTAGTGATGCTGATCAAGAATATATATACTTTATAGGGTCGGAGATGTCTCCTTCACTGCGTTGCAAACTTCTGACTGAAATTATAATACCCTCTGCAAGGGTATAAAAAAAGTGATTTACACCAAAAGTAGGCAATCGATTTTAATATGATAATAGATATGGGTCATCTATATGGGGTGTGAATGAATAATGACAAATATGGGGGTGCCTAAAAGTATGCAGCGCATTTTGAAGGGAATTATAATTAGATGTTTGGGAAAAACTTAATTAATGATGGTGATAAGTAAAAGAGCTAGGGAATTCCCAATAATTATTGAAATTGAATAACATGGAACACTTTAAGGACCCATTTGTGATACTGTTTATTATTTATAATGCAAGTTCTTTATTTTTAACAGATTTTTACTTTTCCCATCTCAAGTTTTAGATTTACCCAAACTTCTCCCCATCACCCTTTGATCTAAATTGCAAATAAAAAGTCAATACCATCTACTCAAGGCTTTTCCCCCATCAATATCCGCAGCAATTTCGTGCACATTTCTAGACCGTCTCTAGTGGCATCTCAACTATGCGAACGCAAGTCGAAATTTTGCTAGAGCATTGCCGTGCATTGAACTTTGGCACATTTCCAAACGCACAACCAGCCAGTCAGCAGCCAAAGGAAACCCAATCGAGCGACCGAGAATTGAATGCGAAAACAAACAAATCTGCCGACACATTGCCCAGGAATATATACATACATATATGTATGTATATAGTATGCCCCAGCTATATAGTAGGGTGAACTGTGGGCACGCCGCCTTGGCATACTTCCAATTCGAGTGCGTTGTCTTCCTCCTCCTAGTGGGGGCCACTTGGATCGTAAAAAATCAATAGCCACCAGACCAAAAAGAGCCACAATGAGCCATCGGACATTGAGGACCCAACGCAGCGGAATGGAACCAACGGAATCGCATGGTGTGGAATCTGGCCTGGCCATATCAAAACATTTTTCCAGAGTTTCCCCCAACGTCCACCGTTCACCGTCCGCTGCCGTTGCAATGTTGCTTTCCTTTCCGCGGCGCAACTTAATTCCAAAAATCGATTAGTCACTGTAAGCGAACCATGCAATTGTCCAGCATTTTTCATTTATAACTCCTTTTTTCGTTTAATTTTTCTGGTTTATTCCTCTTCTCTCCCTTTTTTTTTTTTTTTAGTTTTTTGGCACACGCTTGATTAATTTGGCCCACTGCCGGGAGTCAAGGGGGGAGGACATTTAAAAATGCAGGAAGTAATCGATTGGCTAGGGCACAATAGCCAAAATGGGAGAGGCCATGAGTCGCAAAAATGTTGGGGTAGGTTGACTAAAAGGAAACGTGGAATGGCCAGCAATTTATAAGACCAGAAAAACTGCTTTAAAAAATAAATATTCTTTGTAAGTAATTGACCAAAGTCTCAATTATCTTTGATACAGATTTTAATAGCTTATAATTTGTATTTATTTGTTTATCTCAAAGAATTCTGAAATCTGATCAATTTGCTGGTTAGCACGTACATGCTTATTATCTTAATAGATATTAATGGTAATTTTGTTTTGAAATTACACACTTATTTTTTAAGCACAATGATTAAGTCTAAGAGTATCTAGGCTGCGACTAGTTCTAGTATTTTATCCACCACTGTAGATCGAACAAAAACATGCGACCGACCGGTTGCCGGCAGTAGGTGGAGATTAATCAACAAAAAAATTACGGAAAAATGGAGAGAAAAAAATAACTGATGCTTTTTAAATGGCAATACGTGCCTGGTCACCAGGTATTTTACTAATTAACCTGACGGATGCACGCCACAGCCGAAGAAGATTGTGATTATGCAACTGCATGGATTGGGTCGGCTGTCTGTATTGAGGCGTATATATCTGTGAGATAATAAAGCTGCAATCTGATGGGAGTTTTTATAAAACACTGATAATGTACTCATTACGGAACGTAATAACATTGCAATAAATAATTAAGGTATTTTAGTTATTAACCAAAGTTAGTTTGTAGTTCGCTTTTCAAAGGAACAGGATGTGTGATTGTACCATTGTACCACCAAATTTTCTGCTCTAATAAAAAAGGTTCATTGCAAATATCTGCTTACATTTCATATAAGCATATAAATAAATAATTTTCAACTTAATTTTTTGAATTACCACAGGAAACATTTAAAATTTATTTGCTATAACATTTTTTTTACGATTTGTTCTACAGCTTCAATACTGATTTTCTGATCTAGTTCCCCCCGGGCAGAGTTCACCAATCTCGACTCGTTTCACAAGACATGCGGCAGCGTGGCAAAAAAGAAACACATGAACACTTGTTAGATATGAGAGCACATGGCCACCGTACCCGCACAATTCGCTCCGAAACTCTGAAGCTCTAAAAGCCAAGTCCCATTTGTATGGCCGACTCGTAGTCTCGGGGCTGAGACTTTATAGCTGAGATTTAGACTGAGACTGGGACTGAGACTGGTACTGAGACCGATGCGGAGTTTGGAGCGGCGCATAAAGATTATCTACGGCCGCACATGGCACCAGGCGGTCAGACAAGATTATATGCGAAATGCGAAGCCAAATAACAAGTGTTACTCAAGGCAGCAAATTAATAGCCAACATTTTTCTAAACTAATCACGACAAGTGCTCCGGGTTTGGGGCTGACACAGAAACTCAACTCGAACAGCCGGCTCAGAAGGCAAACGCCAACTGGCGGCCCAAGACAGATGGATCAGAGTGCGGGGCTTAAATGCCAGAAAATGCAGTAAGCGAAAAATAAACATGAAGAAAAATGACAGGCAGAAACGTTACTTGCCCTCCGGGGGTCGTCGCTTGCCCCCATCCGCTTCACTCTGGATTTTTCAACCCTGCCCATGGACCATTCGACCATGGACCACCATTCCCGATTCGGGAATGGAGCGGAACTTGAGCCGCCGATCTGAGATTCCGACACGTGCCGGGCGACAATGGGCCCGCCAAATGCCCGCCATATAACAATGGCAGGCGTACGAACAGCAAACATTTTGTAAATTTGCGTCCATTGACACTTTGAATGATACAGATCTGGCGCTGCTCTGGATCTCGATTCTGCCGGTGGTGTTGCTCTAGAATTCAGACTCTAGATGGAGGGTCACACTGTTTAACCGGGAGGGCCACCTAGCCGGCAGATTGGCCCACGCAAAGTTCCTACCGCTCCCCCCAGTTTAGACCCCTGTTCTGCACTCACGGTACCCATTTCAGCCTTGGGGCAGCAACCACTTTGTATGTACAAGAGACGAATGTGAAATGATGCCGATGCACTGCGCAAATTAGGGCCTAACTTCTTAAATGCAAAACCAATTTATCGAGCTTTTTTATTTCAAAAGTATTTAAAGTATAGACTAAATCTGAATTTTATCATAAGAATTAAGTAGAAACAGTCACAAAATTTGATAGCATGATATATTTATGAATATTACAAATAAATTAATAAATTAAAATAAAATACGTTCAATAAATATTAAATGAATATAATTATTGTTCTTCAACCGAAAGAGATACCACTGTTTTATACCTATCATAACTATAATTTCATAAAGATATATAGTTGGAAAGATGGATGAGATAAATGGGCATTTTTCTTTGCGCTTAAAGCCCCCTCTTTTAGTTGCAGTGTAAAAATAAGCAATATTCTGAAAGAGGGAGTCCGAAAGGGAAGTAATGGAGAGGGAGGGGAGGCCGGGACCGGTCCTGGGTGCATGTAACACAATCAGGAAGTAATTTTTATGCTATGTACCCATAGCATGTGTCGCCGTCATCGTCGACGTAGCTGATGTTGCTGCTGTCGCTGTTGATTTTGCCCAGGTTGTTGGTGTTGCCGCAGCCGATGTGGATACTGATGTGGCTGTGGATGTGGATGTGGATGTGGATGCGAGTGATCTGGCCAGTCAGTGGAGACAGTCGCTCAGGCAGCCGAGAAGTTGGGAAGTCGGGAAGTTGAGCTGGGTTGAGGAGTCGCTCGTTCGGACAGATCTTAAGGCAGTGGCTGCTCTGGGGTGGGTTCGTTTTCGTTCTGAGCTCTCTGCCGAGTTGACGGGGGAATTGCATTTGAGGTCCCTTCTCCCTTTGGGAGTCGAGGGGCTGGGGGCACGGCATTGATTGCCAAGATGATGATGACGACGATGAGATGAT